TAAGTTTAAATTGTGACATTTTATAGAAATTATCGTAAAATTAATCAAATAATAGTCGGTGTTAATTATCCATTAATTAAATGATTCACGTATTATATACCTCGATGGCGAACTATATTCTCAATGAGATATAATAGGTAGACGAGTAGAGATTGAAAGATCTCTATATTCGACTCTAAAATTAGACAGATGCAAGGAGTAGGGAGGGGCACCGCGAGACAGGACAGACCGCAGAAATCGGTTCCGCGGAAATCAAATCGCCAGGTACTCCTTTTTAAGCAGCTGATCGGCAAACGATTGTCCGCGCCGACCGGAAACGGACAACATACCTCGCGGAGGATCAACGTGCAACGATTCAAGCGGATTAAAGCTGACAATTACAGGGAGCTGGCGAGAGGGAGGGTGGTGGTACTCCCCCTTTTCCTTTATATTACAGTACACACTATCCGCGGCGGTAGTTTAGATAGATAGGTGGGTAGGTAGGTCCGCGAATGAGTCAGGTCATGCTAGGTTAGATTGAACGTTGTCTCCGTACACGTATGCACTCACGTATGCGCATACTATACACACGCACGCACACACATACGTACATGGACAACGATATACCATATGTGAGCCGCTGCTGCATGGCCAGCGTGCGTGGGTGGACGGAAGGCACTGCGTGTGCGTGTGCATGTAGGTGCGTATACGCGTGGAGAGAAGGCATATGGTCAGCAGGTGAGACCTTCGCTTTGTATTCCAAGTGTATAAAGTAGCCCACTTCGAGTGGCCCGACGTTACTCACGAACGTAACTCATGATAAAAGGGGAGAGAGTAAGGAGAGAGAGAGAGAGAGAAAAAAAAGAAAGGGTTGCACGCCGGCTCCTCCTGAAATGCTAACGATCCCTTCGAGCATCAGCATCAGAAGGAGAGACCTGCCGGCGTGAGGTACGAACCATCCGTCGCGATTCGAATAGCAGAAAAACGGGGTCGTGCATTTTTCATGCGAGAATCCCGCGGTGAGTCGCCTTGGCGCAACTATGTCAAAGATGACTCGTCGAAATAAAACAGATACGAAATAAGAGGCGAAACAGTTTCTTATCACGCGTTAATAAATCACGTAGATTGAAAATAGTCACGATCTTTCTTTGTCAGATTTTGCTGCATTAAGGAAGGAACGCGGATAGGGTTTAATAAGCAATCCGAGAGAGTTAATAAAAAATGGTAGACGAGGTAGACACGGACACAAAAATATGAATATCGCAAAGGGTAAAAGTGGAGAACGGGTGGGAGGGGTGTAGAATCGGAACGAGAGATCCTCCTAAGGAAATACAGTGGGTGTCATTTGATATATTTTTCCATTATTAAGGACATTAAGCCAGCGGCCCGCGGGCCAACTCCGTTCTTTCCGTTTTCTTCTTCCTCTTTCCATTTCTCTTTGCGGGCCCCGACGCGACCGCGACTTCTTTCTTCCTCTCTTCCTCTTTTTTTCCCGCGGCTGGCGACGGCAATAAATCAGAAAAAAAGATTCAAACCGCCAGTATGGTCGGGCGTCGGGACGCAATTTTCCGTCTGCCAGGAGATAAAAATTTGATTAATGACCGCGTAGTTTTGAAATTTAAGAAAAGCGCGACATTCTCGCCGAACTTGGACGAAAAAACTCCCACCAAGAATAATAGTCGGCATTGTTCGTACATCGATGCTGTCGAAATCTTACGATTGTCTCGTCATCTTCGAGAACCGAGAAAAATTAATAGCATCGTTTTTCATGATTTAATTTATAGTAATACTTTTATAAAATTAAAGAATCGTTTGAAAACAAATTCAATGTACGTTTTATGCTTCACTATGCAATCGAAATGTGCGAGTAAAAACATGATAATTATCTGTATTATATAAAGTATTCTTGCAACAGCATTATTCGAATTTTCGAAAGCTCGCAGCTTTGTTTGTATTCTTTAAGTTTGTTTCTATCGTTGACCTCACAGATCTTTCTGGTACCTCTCAACAATAACATACAGATTGACAGCTCGTGCGATCAGCTGATAAGGGTAATGACCGAAATTCACCAGATTTAGACAACTTCTGCTTAGTGTTTTCGCGAACATCAGTCCTTGATGATTGGTTAAAAGCGATAATCAATATATATTTCTCGACATTTTAAACTTAGTGTAGATCAAATTAGAATTAAAATCATTTAATCATGAAAATATTTGAAAATTTCGAATCTAATCTCATAAACACAAAGAAAAAAGTCGTTTGATCGGCGAAATCTTACATTCAAAGTTTAAAGGAAAATCTCGACGGAACACTTGAGACAGTCGTTAAAAATTCGCAGCGCGACTCTGTCTCAGCGTCAAACCGTTTTTTCACGAACCCTTCTGTCACTCCCGGCTCCCGGTTAATCATCGTGAAAGTCCGTTTACGAGGGGCAAGGAATTCGAGAGGGAAAACCCGTGTTGGCAAGCAAATTACACCTTAAAAATATCAAACAAGCTGATTGAGATTACACAATCCGCATATACAAAAATATATACTCGAATAATAGTTGGATTTTTTATCATTTTATTTTCATATAAATTAACGAAATTATATTAATATATATCTCTGCTGTGTAAATATTTAATATATTATTTCTGATTTACATTTTTTAACACTTATTTCTTCATATGAATTAAAAAGGTTATATTAATATACATATAATCTTTGCTATATATATATTCAATATTTTTTTCATTTCTATTAATATATTCAATATATTATTTCCATAGACGTCAATAATTTTTTAATACCTCTCATATATTACAAAATCGACGCAAACGCGTCCCAATGATCGTATCAACGTACCCTTTGTACATCGATTAAACGGAGCTTCGGCGTTCATAACATCCTCCCCTCCCTTGAGTACCGCAAAACAGGAGCAATTTCATTCAAATCGGTGACGAACAACAGCCGGCCGGCCGTGTTCGGGCGGAGGTAGAAAAAGCTGAGGAAAAAGGCGCGGAATAAAATCGCGTCGGGCAGCTTCTCCCTCTCCCACGGGGATTAAAGAGTCCAGGGATGCCCAGCGTTCGCCGAGATCTCTCGTCGTCACCCCGTCAAGTATCCGCAGTCACGTCGAACGGCAAGCGAGGGGAAAGGGTTGAACTCGCGGAAACTTGAGAACCCCCGGTGACAATTTCAATTCTCTCTTCGTCCCGCCCGGCCGCCTCTTCCCCTCTCGCTCTTACGAAGCCTGGCGCTCTTCCTCCTCGTCGCAAAAGGGGTGACCTAAGATTCTTAAAACTTCTCACGAGATTTTTCGATTTTAATTACAGTTTTAACATATTTTAATAAAATCCTCTGCCGTCTTCGCGAGTCCATCCGTCCATCTCCTTGCCTTTCTCTCTCCTCGCTACCCTCTTTAATTCCGCCAAGTTTTCAGCCCTTCTATTACCTCGTGCCGAATCCTACTCGCCCGACCACTCTTGCCGCGGACTGTACGGCGGTCTTAACGTTAACCCTTTCGTTCGTTCACCTACACCCACACCCGCGATACTGGCGCAACACCTGTTCCCCGAACGAGGAGAACCCGAAATTGAACGTTCCTGCGCCGGCTACGCGGCCCGATCTGCCGTTTTATCAGTTTCGGTTCTTCCTCACGAAGAATCGGAGTAGTGATTGAACCGCTCTCGTATGTATTACCGCGTGATTCTCCATATTCGCTATTTTTCGAATTCTTTTCTCGAGATTCTCGCTGTCGTGCCAAGATCGATGGAAGCGAAGCGGATATACGATAAATCGTAAGCATCTGAACAACGAAATAAACACATACAAAATTGACAGAACGTTTAAAAACACGTGATAGATCAAAATGTAAATGTACTGCAGATGTACTAAATATGTTGCAGAAATCGTAAAATTACACGTCTCAATCGTGTTGCGTTCATGTAAAACACATGCGCGCGCGCTATAACGATAAATCTAAATCAGGCTGAGAAGGAGCTAGGTTACAAATTTCGTCGAGTTCCAAGTTCTCACGCTGGTTTCAGAATCGGAGCTTATAGTATCGGTCAGTAGGTCAAGTTGCACCGCACCTTCGTTCCGCGATTATAAACGTTGGCTCTCGGCCTTGCAGTACCACGACCTTGGTAACTTCTAATCGCCAAGTTCAACTACCACTACAACTCGGATTAGACGATACAACACCGTAATACAATTTCCCCTCGATTTATAACAGTGTTATGATTTCACTTTAATATACTATACTTATAAAAATTGCCGCAAACAAAGAGATACGAGGATCGATCGAACCGCACGTGTTCTGAAATCTGTGCCGAAACTGTGAAAAAGAATATAATATCTTACTTAGAACATTTTTATTGTTAACGAGGATTGCAAAAATATATGTTTCTTTCCTATGTTTTCAATAATATTCTATTAAAATATAAATAACATAGAATATACACTGTTCAATCTATAGTGTCAAATTTAATCTAATTTAAGTTGACACTGCTTCTACTCAATATATCGTTATTTTTTACTAAAACAAAAGATAAATTTGACACTTTGTGCAGCAGCGTTAATTTGACACTGTATGTACAGTATCAAATTTATCCACTGTTTTAGTAAAAAAAAGTAACAATATATATCGAGTAGGAGCAGTGGCACTAAAATTATTTAGAATTAATTCGATCACTATAGATTTAATAGTATATTATTTCATTGAACGTATTTTCATTTAAATTTCTGTATTACAATAATAAAATTTAATTTTTTACGATATAATATTCTTTACATTTATTTTGAGGGTTTCCTCGCCTCTCTCATTTACTTTTCAATAACGAATACTTTTTCAAAGTTAAACATTCAAAGCTTTTGTGAAGAAAACGATCGATATCCGCGAGGAGGCGAGGTAACCCCCTTCAGTTTCGGCAGTGTGAAAACGATGGCGATCGACTACGAAATATGCGGCGGTCAGGGTCGATCTGCCATCCCCCGTTGCTCGACGAAAAGTACAGCGTACCAACTAACCCCGGCAGTTCTTCTCGCAGATCTTCATGCACAAGAGCGCGATGCAGATGCACGCGAGGGAGCTGGGCGCGGGTGCACTGACGGCGAGGCCCGGCGGCGGCGTCGCCGGTGGTCTGGCCGGTCTGGGTGTCGGTGTCGGCGTCGGCGTCGGACCAGGCGGCATGATCACCAGCAACGAAGTTAAGCCGCACCAGTGCCAGCAGTGCCTCAAGTCGTTCTCTAGCAACCATCAACTCGTGCAACACATCAGGGTCCACACCGGCGAGAAACCGTACAAGTGCAGCTACTGCGACCGCAGGTTCAAGCAGCTCAGCCACGTGCAGCAGCATACACGACTACATACGGGTGAGTAGCTCCCTTGTTGTTAACGAGATCACGGGTTGGCGCGCGTGAGCTTTTTCCTCGATTACGCCCGATTAAAGTTGACCGCCGCGTAATCGGCACCGCCCGTAAATTAATGCAGAATAATACGCGTTAAGCTCTTCTGGTACCCCACCACACCCGCTGCCCAGGGCTCGTCGTCGTTATAGAACTCGTGCCGAGTTATTGGTCAATAAATTAGTGCACGAATATATATTGCTGTTATAGTAAATTCTATGAATACTATATCGCCCGGGCTATAGCCAATAATCAATAAATTAATATGCAGTTATTGTCTGTACGGGCAATCATGCGTCCCGATTGTGACTAACTTCAATGCGCGCTGGTGCGAAATTGCTTTGTGCATGCAACGTGCGTGCAAGTAAAATATTCCTATGCTCTCATAGATACGGCCGGTCGAACGAACGAACGAATGCATCGCCCATCTCGCCCTGCGTATACTGCTCTTTCGCGCCCCGCGAGGCTTCCGATATTTAGATAACGATGCATCCGCGTTTGCAGCAGGAGGCAACTTGCGACTAAAATAACATTCAACCATGCCGGACCAGGCACGAAGGATTTGCAATAATGAGAAAACCCGATCTGGCTGCAAAGGCAAGCCAATGGGTCGCGTCCGGGTAGAAAGAATTTCATTAAGGGATGAGCGTAGTCACTCGGAAGGTATTAGACTCGCAAGCGAACGGTCAGCGCGCGCCGCGTACGACTACTAGCCCCTTGGAAAAATCTCTCGTTGACCTTAACGAAGATTTGCTTTAGAGCGAGGCAATGGAAAAAAATAACAAAGAACGGGAGAAAAACGCCGCGCGCGTCGGGTATTCCAGCTATTTAATCGAATCGTCCGAATCCGTGCGGAGAGCGAAAGAGAGATACGAAACCCTGAGTCTAACAATCGATCCGAGAAAAGGCTCATTGACAAAGTAAACGGATCCCCAACGTTTCTTTGCCGACGTAACGAATCGTTCGAATCGTTCTCTCAAATCTCTCCTTCGACGAATCAGGAAGAGAATCGTCTTGCGCGCGATGTAGATCGTAATATATACTCGTGATTTCGCTCGAATCGAGTCTCGGGAGTAGTTTATAAAAATAGACGTTACGATTTTGACGAGAATATCCAGTATAACCTGATTTTCCATGTTGGCGTTGCTAATCTTTTTATTTGTTTCCACACGCTGCGCCGCTTCGGCCCAGCTTGTCTTAACTGTAAATAGCAACGAAAGAAAGACTCGCATTGATTTTAGCCGGCCCATCTCTCGACCTCCTGTCTTCTTGCTTCACATCTCTCTCTCTCTCTCTCTCTCTGGATCTCTTTCTCTCGCCCTCTGTTGCGACCACCCACGTCCAAATAACTACTGCTCAGCCACCCCTTACATTAATAACCGCCCTTCCCCACATATCCCACCCTTCGTCATCGTCCTTCTTCGTAGGGTGGTGCTCGAGTTGGGCGTGTATGCACACGCGTACGTAAAGGGTCGCTTTGGATTTCTGCACTTCTACCGATAAAATGTTTTAAATGCACCCATGTATATGTGCAGCCCCCGACCTCGGTTGCACCGAGGGTGCAAACCTTGCAACGGTATCTCGTGACGAGCTGCGAGCGCTCGGAGCCAAGTTTAGCCACGAATCGAAATATTTCTATTTTCGAACGTCTTAAGGAGAAATGATTGGGTGGTGTAAAATTTATAACCATACAACATGCAAACTCAACAAGCTTGTTGACTCCTTGTAAATCATAAATGTTATTTCTTGCCGAATTAGCACTCGATAATTTGTCTAAATCATAATTAGTTGCAATTTTACTATTTATCGCTATCCCAATCATTCTTTCGTTAGTAAGTATTTCCAGATAAATGTAAATGTAATGTAAAAAATTAACGAAGCACACAAAAATATAGAAAGCGTCAAATACATCCATTAGAAGGAACTTTATATATATCGAATAAAAAGAAAACGGCAATTACAAAATTATATTCATTTAATTTTCTGTTAATTTTGTTGAGCTCTACCGTATTGCAGCGCAAGATTACGTCCTATGTACGTACATGTATATACATAGAAATGTATAATATATATAAATAATATACGTGTATAAACAGGGGAAGCAATAATACGTTAGCACGTACTAATTAATATCGAAGTAATGCGAATGCAAAGCGGCATACTCGGAAACCGCGCGCATTTTTGCAACGCAACAATCCCGTTATAGCGTTTGCACCGCGTATTGATTTCTCATTTCGATGAAATTCTGGCGCGGCGGGGCACGCGGCGATTGGTCGTGCGCGTTCAAAAATCGGCGGGAATTCGCCGGCGTGCCGACGTGCCCTCTTCCACCCCCACCGGTCGTTCCACCGCTCCGCAAATATGCACACGAGTTACATCGTTCGCGCGCATATATGCACGCGTGTCTATATATTATACATATAATTCATTAACCGAAATTTACACGAGAACGCACGACCGGTAAAATCCATGGGGTGGGAGAGCGAAACGAAAGAATGGATAGGATGTGGAGGGGAAGCGCAGGCGGCAACGGAGAATATAATATCGACGAGTGTCCACGATATCGATAGCTGGTCAATATCTGTAGCCTAGACAAATACCTGGCGAGGGTGCGGAGTGCAAGGGAGAGAGAGAGAGAGAGAGAGAGGGAGAACGAGAACGAGAACGAGGGTGAGCGAGTCCGTTCACCCCCTCTCGTACCAACACGGCGCGCAAGGATGACCAAACGGCCGAGCCAATGAGAATTCGGTTCGCCCCACCGGGGTGGGCAGCGTGCGAAAAAGCGCGGGAATTTTTCGATCGCCCGATCGCTCAATAATGGAACCGAAGTTACGTGCCGCCACCGTCGCAAGCGCACACGACCGCGCGAGCGCGTGAACGCGGTCGTGTGTATATTCATCTACGTACACACGCACGCATGTATGCACATGTGCGTCCGCGAGCGTATGCGACGATCGGGATTCACCCAGAGAGAGAGAGAGAGAGGGGGGGGGGAGGGGAATAGATAGAGTCCGTACGTATAGCAGGCCAGAGGCTATACCAAAGATTATCCCTTCGGCAGCGAGCAAAACTCAATTTCCCGGCCAAAATCTAATGATCGACCGCCCTACGCGCCAGGAACTAATCGGTTTTCCCGGAGCCGCTAACTAGGCGCGTGTGTTGGCTGCGAAAATCGCCGCTTGTGAAAAGCAGCGCAGATAGAATGGCGTATAGAACAATCTCAAAGGACTATACGGTATTGCGATTGTTATACGCTGCGAAAGCCCCTAATCTAGGCGTCCATTTGGTAACATCTATGACCTAATGATCCGTCTATGAGCGTAATTCGCGCAATGAAAGACGCCGATGCGTAATAGCCATGTTACTGATAACACATCGGTATTCTCCCCCGAGCGACTACGTAACTATACCTGTTCACATTGGATGTAATTTCTAAAGGATTCTCGCGGAATGGAGCACGCGGTTCTGCGCGTCCATCCGAAGGACAACCAAGTGCGTTGAAAAGGGGACTAACCCATCGAGAGAGGGCGTCGCCGCACGATGATAGTGGTGCTTGAAAAAAGGAGCACGTCCTGCCGAAGAAATTGACCGGACAATTTTAAAGCCCACTTAATACTGCGAAAAATTGCCGTTTCGTCGGCGCATGAATAAAAATTAAGGCTTCTCTGCCTCGACCTCCGTTTCCTACCGCTTCTGCGCGAGGAACAGTTTGGAAACGAGCCTGCATATCCGTATTTACGAGGTGCCGCGGGTAAAATGAGAAAAAGAACGAACGTTCCCCACATTCAGACCCTCTGAATCTTCCTCGGCCTTTCTGGCGGCAGCCCGTTCCGGGTCCGCACACGTTTTTCCGTCCCTCTCACACTTTTAATTCGCTAATTTCGCCGGTTAAGAATTCATGCGGTGGAATGCCTCTCAGCGGACGTCTCGAGAAAAATCAAAGCGACGAGAAAGAGCGGCGCAAGGGGATCCCGGGGGCCGAGAGCACTGCGGAAAAGAGCGACGCCCCGGTGGTCCCTTTATCACAAATGGCGCGGAATGAAAGATTAAACAACGGCACGACGACGTGCTTTGAGCACAAGAAATAAAAATTACGAGCGCGATGACGACGGAGGAAACGACAAGTTACGAAACGAGCTTTTCGCCCAAATATTCTTTTTCCAGTGGCCGCCGCACATATCGTGGATTCGCGATGAAATTATCGATGAAATCTTTGCATTTCGAGAATATTTTAAACCCGGAAGTTAATTAATTTTCGTTGATTAATATCGCAGGCTAATCAGCCGACCTATAGCCTCGCTATGAATGTTTTAACAGAACGAGCGTTAGTTCTAATATCAGCCCGCGTTCAGCGCAGTATACTCGTAAATTACTCGTACGCCAGAATTCATGCATTCATGCAATTTTGCGAGCGATGTAACCGGCCCGTGTTTAGTAATTAACACACTCAACTTCAGCTTCGCCACCGCAGCGACTTAAAAAGACACGATTATCGATAGACACTAAAGTTTCCAACTTCACGGTCTTTCTTCTTGCACAACTGGCCTCATAAAAATTTCTTTACGCTGAGATACAACTATAATATATTATTTACAAGAGTATACTTGAAAATATTATCTCAAAAAGGATTATTTTTGAATAGATATATACGTGACGCTTAGAGACGACAGTTTTCGTGATTTTTCATTTCGCACAATAAAAAAATCACTCCACTTTACATTTTTTTTTGTTGCGATTAAGGGGGAATCCTAAAAAATTATCTGCAATTATTTTTCAAATAAATAAAAAATCTTTCTCCGTAATTAAAGTATAAACAATAATGTCGTCCAAACAGATCGACTTATGTAAAAAAAACGAAATAAAGTTGGAAGAATACAGTTTTCATCAGCTTTCTAACGTTAATTCGCAACAAGATTTACTTTATATAAAAGTTTTACACTTTGTGCATATCTTTGGTCTCCACTTAA